AGTCCCCCCTCGAAAACGGGGCCGCGTAGGACCCCGAGTGATCCCATTGGTTCAACGAACTTTTAATGTGTATTATTTTTAGCGCCTGATTAAAATTTCTGCAAAATCGCGCTTTGATTTGTCATTTGAACTTCGTTATAATGACCATTAATGTCTTTTAAATTATGTTTCATACACTAGTATCCGAAGCTATAGGTTGTGAAATCAAACATTTCTCGTTTTTATTGTTTTTTTTGGGTTTTTTTGGTTAGCTCACGTACTAGCATAGCATACAGCTACCCGATTAGCCTGCTAGGTTAGCTTATACACCACGCATTTGCACTTACCATACATATATTCACAACGAAATAGTAACATAAGTGTTGACTTTTGATCAGGCATTTAAAACAGCTAAATTCGCCATGGTCCTAAGCGGACCCAATTTCGAGGGGGGACTCGATTTCTCATGACACCAGCTCGACCGGTTACTTCCTGAGAACCGGCTCAAAAGAACGATTCGTTCAAGAACCGAACATCACTAGTGTCCAGTCTTACTTTTGCTCCAATGTCCTGCAGATTTTAGCTCCAACCAACACACTTACCTAGATGTTTCTAGTGAGTATGAAGACCTTGATTAGCTAGATCAGGTGTGTTTAATTAGGGTTGGAGCTAAACTCTGCAAGACAGTGGCCTCCAGGAACAGGTTTGGACAGCCCTGATAGTGTGTATACATTATCATCAAATGAACACACTGGAACCTGGTAAACTGGCAAATACTTCCTCCTCGAAAGTTTTCATTCTGTCAACTTTGTTTATAAGCCGAGTGATGAGCAAAATGGACAATGTTTAGTGAACAGTGACTTAAATTTCTGTCTGTTCCTCATATAATGCTATTTTATGGCTTCAGAAAACTTGAGTTACATTTATGATACATTTATCATCATTTTTGATTTATAGCATCCATCCCCATTAACTCTCATTTTATAGACAAGAGGAAAAAACTGCTCAACCTCTCCATTTGTGTTTGAAATGACATGGAGGTAAATGATGACAGAATTGTAATTTTTGAGTGAATTATTACTTAATTTAGTAAGCATTCAGAATAATTATATAAAACCAGTGCAGTCTTTCAGAACATGCTACCCTCAGAGAGAGAACACATTAACTAATATAGTCTGAACAAGGTCTACATCATTAACTTAGTTAACTACCGGTAGCCAGTCCTGCTGCTTTAGCTTAAGAGTCCAGTAAAGATTGCATAGTAAAGATTGCATATACTCTTGCATGCACCATATTTAAAAATTCATACATACACTTTGAAATCACTTACTGTATGTTCCCTGGCTATTAAAACTTGGAGTGAGAAAGCACATTATGGGCTGAAAGCTTCCTGGTGCCTCTCAGGTTTAATTTCATGAAGCCTTTGTCTGTGACATGTTTATGTTAACACACAATCTAATGCTTTTAGTGAACGCCAGGTGTCTATATATGGCCAAATCAGCAGTTGTAGAGCTTTGGTGGGTACAGAATTGAATACAGCTTTCTGTAAAATAACATTTAGGTTACACATTGCTGATATTTTAACATGCATAAGCTTAAAATAATATTGAGGTAATCACAAATCTGAGAACCTTTCTCAAAGCTCTTATTCATATTCTCTGAATTGGGTTTGGTCTCATGGTTATGTAAATGAAAACTATAATCTCTCTGAAGGCTTTGTGTAAGTTCTATTAAAATGGTTAATCACTGAAAAAATATATAGTTTTGGATGCGTCTCAAAACGTCTTTCCCTCTGCCTTCACGGGAGAAGAGTGAAGAGAGAATAGAAGAGATTATTTGAATGAGGCTAAATGTAGGTCAGAGATACTGCTGCCAGTATTTGTTTATTTATTCTGAGAAAAGATTGAATACTTATGACTTCATGTGGTGAAGTCTACTGTGCAGTGTCTCTGTGACCCAGAATTTTGACATAAATCATGTTGTAATTGCCTGGCTTTTGCCAGAATCTGCATTATGTGGTTGTAGGGGGCATTTTCGGAAGCAGTGTCCCCTTTGCCAGACCACCACAGTGTTACATTTCACCAACATTTACACTTTTATTAATATGAAAAGTATAGTAATATTAATAAATATGGCAGTTTTTCTTAATCGACTTGACACTTTTCTCCAAAGTAATGTAACTGCTCTTAAAATAATTAACACAGCCATCCAAACACAAGCTTATCTTAACCAAGCAGTTTCACTTTACTGCAAAATTAAGCACTGTAATTTATTCTAGTAATGCGTTTATTAAAAGAATATATTAACAAAATCTATAGGTGTGTTCTCTACTGACTATAGAACATTTTTAGCTGTAGATGCACAAATATGCTAATGTAAATACATGTTTTTTGCTAAATTCTTCAACAGCGAGTTTTGTTTATATACAGAGTTCTGGCATGAAACTCTAGATGGCGCAGTCTGATAGGTCTAACTCAATCTGACCTAATGATATCATTATCACATGGCACAGCTGATTGGTCTCTCCTGTATCGGTAGCCAATGAGCTCGCTGCTCAACATTCAAATATATGACTAGTGCTTGCAGTAGCAGTTGCAGCTTGCTTCAGAAACCCTTCTCCTTCCCCAGCTCCACCTGTATAGATCTGCTACGAGGTGATCCATGTGTGCTATATGGGGTTATTTCATGTATGTTATATTTGCAGCAGCAATATAATATTACATATATGTGTGTGTTTTTGCTGTTATACATGAATTATGGTGAATTATTGATCTTGCCTTTCATCTTCACTGCATTTTATCTACACCACATTGTTGCTTCTTTGTTGCATTATTGCAATTACAAAGTGTTCAGCTCACTGCGTTAACTGTTTTGAGAACAGTGACCTGAGTTAAGAGAACTGTATCAAATCAATTGAGAAAAACTGTGAGCAATAAATGTGCAGTTTGAAAAATAGGCACTTTAAATATTCCATTATAAGATACCATTGTTGTTTTTATACGCCTTTTAAGGTCAGGTTTATGCAAATACATTATGCCCTAACAATAGATTAGTGCATATATACACCATTCAAAAGTTTCTTATGCTTTCCAAGGCTGCATTTATTCGATTAAAAATACAGTAAATACAGCTATATTGTTACAATTTCAAATAAATGTTTTCTGTTTGAATATTTTAAAAATGTAATTTATTCCTGTGATGCAAAGCTGAATTTTCAGCATCATTACTCCATTCTTCAGTGTCACATGATCCTTCAGAAATCATTGTAATATGCTGATTTGGTGCTCAAGAAAAAAAGAAACGAAACCAGTTGTGCTGCTTAATATTTCTGTGGAAATTGTAATACATTTTTTTTTAATACATAAAATTTTTAATACCTAATTAACATATGTGAACCTGGTAAACTGGCAAATCCAGCACGTTTCAAAAAACTTGAACGGGCAGAGTGAGACAGGCAGAGAGAATTTCAGATAGTTGGGACATTTTATGCATGCTATTCCAAAAATAAGGCTTACAGCACCTTTAAAAAGCTAATGCCGTCCTCGCTTTCCTAAGGTTAAAGGGTCACCTTGTGTCTGTAACAACAGTTTGTCAACTATAATTAAGCCATTGTAGGTTGAATTCCCCCAAAACGGTGAGTTTGTGGCATTACATAAACATTCTTTGGTTTATTTGACCAATTCTGTGTGTTGCTGCTTTTGGTGAAATCATACAGTTCACCTTTAATTAATTAAACAACTTGATTATAAAATTAATTCTGTGGTTGGTCCTAAAATTGAGTCATAAAATAGTTGATAATATTAAAAACATTGTCCATTACTGTGGTCAGCGGTGATTTACATGTCAAGCGCACACATTTCCATAAACACATTATTAAAGGACATGAAAGCTGGGAACTGAATTTCCGCCCAGATGACTCACAGTTTTATGGCATGACAGCGTTATGTGCTCATCTAATATAATTCATTTTTAATTCCTTCCTGGTTGAATTTGTAGAAGCAGCCAGGACGTATTAAAAAAAGAATGACAAAAAATATACATGTTCTACATATATTGATCATGTAACAATTTCAACGTTGTAGCATTAAATGTTAAAATATTAAAGATATAACCTTTCAAAAATGCCAAAAGATGTACAGTATGGGCTATCATATTAATGTGAAATGTACTGTCAGGTGTACATGACCATCCTTTGATTAAATATTGAAATGTGATACACTTTACAATAAATAAAAAAAAAAATCTGAAAGGTATTTTTATTTTTTACATTTTTTGAAGTAACAGTACATGTTTTGGATGGCTGTCTTATCCCATTTCAGGCCTTAAACTCTTTGAATCAGGTGTGTTTTATTAAACAGATAAAGGTGTTGGACAAAATAATGTGAACACCTGGGAAATGGGCAATATTTTTTATTAAGGTGTTTTATAACCATTTGCCTTTAATAAATCGTCCAACCTTCTTAGAATAGATTCCTACAACTTCTGAATAGTCTCCAGAACACCTGCCAGTTGCTTCAGAGATGTCGGAGGAGGGAATCGGCTTCTCACATTTCTCCCCAAAGCTGTCCATGGTGGTTTGATAATATTCAAGTCAGGTGATTTGTTTGGCCAGGGTAGATGGTGACGTTGATCTTGGTGCTCCAACTGTCCAAGTTTATATCATCATGACCCCATCTATTTTTTTTTATTATAATTTTTTTTAGCATTTTAGTATTGGTGACTGTGATTAAAGTTATAGCAATTGTAGTTCTTTCAGGATGTTTGCTTTGTGAAGTTCTCTGTGGTCGGTTTTTGTGGAAACGGGGTCTTCAAGTTGAATACTGAGGTTTTCTGTCACTTTGCAGCAGTAGTTCTGTGTTGTTTGGGCTCGATCCGTCTTAGTGTTCAATGGACCATATCATTCACTCTTGGTTTTTACCCACTCTTCCTCTTCGCTGATGAAGTCTTGCCATACTTTGTGTACACATTCATACACATGGGCCGTTAAGGTTACAGACAAGGTTATGCCCTTTTTGGAAGTCTGACAAGGCCCCCGTTTCACCCACAACTTGTACTGAACACTGCTGACCACAACATATACTACACTAATACACAAACTAGAGATTATAGACAGTGAGAAAAATAAATAAAAAATCACAAAAAATTTTTTTCTTCACATGTAGCCTACAGAAATTATATTATACTATATATTATATTATAGTATACTATAATAATGGGTGTTCACATTATTTTGGCTAATCCCACCCTGTACATAAACACATATTTGTAGTTCTTGTTTTTTTTTTCATCAGCTATTTGTCTCAAATATATTATAACTGGAGTAAATATGTTCCAGACTTTGTCAATTTTTAAAAATCTGGTTTACGAGATTATAGAGCAGACTGTAGCTCTGAATGTTTGTAAAATCTAGTGGGAATGACAGTGTTAAATTAAGCATTTTACGGCTTTAATAAGAACAATAATGCCTTAATGCTCTAAAAGATGAAGCCCTAATGCCCACCCATATTACCACCAATGAAAACTATTAACTTAGCTACATTTTTCAGTATTGTAACATTAGCTCAGCTGTTTTGAACTTTACCTTCTTCATTAAAAGGCTTTTTATTCAGCAAGCACCAGTGCAGTGTGACAAATCGCTACATTGCTGTTTTTATGTCAAGTTATGTGGCACACCAATAATCAAACGCTTTCTAGAAAGTCTTTAGAATGTCTCTTGAGCTCTCAAAAAGCATTAAATCTGATTTATTTTAGAGAGTTGTTTTTTTTAGATAGTACTTTTGTTTTTAATGAAAATGGTTTTTAATGGAAAGAAAAGGCATTTTGGAATTAATTTGCAATTTTATGTTATATATTAACTTTTTTATGCATCAGCAAAAATGTTGTCATCAGCATAATACAGACATACTGTATGCGCGGAGTCTGAAACCCAAAGCATACTTCAGTTTTGATGCAAACTGCATACAGCAGATCAAATATCATTTCAAAGTATACTCCAGTTGATTGTCTGCACAAACACATGCAGCCAACAAATGTGCACTACAAATTTTCATCTTTGTCCAGTGTTTGCGCTATTTCTCTCCAGAAGATATGGCCGATAAAATCTCTTTGTACTCTTTTAACCTAGAGTCTTTAGATCTAGAGTTAAATCCCACCCTACATTTTTTCCTCATTTGAGAAGCCATTTCACTCAGATATACATCACAATAGGGAAGAAAAGACAATCGCAACTTCTGTTTCATAACGATTTTTAACAGTCCACCTGGAAAGAAAGCTGTCATGGTAGAAACTCCCTCATGGGGGAAGAAAGCCGTCATATTTACAACTGTGAGAATGAGCGCTTGTCAGGATTAACTAAATACTGGATTCTCAAAAGTATGTGCATAGACTTGACTGAATACAACTTTCTTGAATGCAACTTTCTGAATACATCTTTCTTGAATCCAAATGGGATGTACACCAGTCTGTTATTGTAGGGACATCAACTTCACACCTCTAAACATGACGCTGAACAAAACAAACTGTGATTGGTTGCTTTAAATGTCGGTCAGATGGCCTCTTGGGTAGTCTTTGGCCAATGAAAACTGCTATGGGAGTCCAGACCTTCTGCTATCGGTCTGAAGGTCTGGCTATGCGGGACTAGTTTCTTTCTTCTGTTGAACATAAAAGAAGATATTTTTAAGAATGTGGGTATCCAAGCAGTTGGTGGTCCCCATTGGCTTCCATAGTGTGGAGAAAGAAAAAAAAAGTCAATGGGACCAGAAACTTTTTGGTTACCTGCATTCTTCAAAATACCTTTTATGTTCAGCAGAAGAAAGAAACTCATACAGGTTTGGAACAACTTGAGGGTGATTAAATGATGACATAATTTTCATTTCTTTTTGTGAACTATCTCTTTAAGTAAGCCATTCTAAGGTTAATTTTTATGAAACTGTAAATACTCGCTTGGAAATTCCCCTATTTGTTTTAAAGGGGTCATATGATGTTGCTAAAAAGAACATTATTTTGTGTATTTGGTGTAATGAAATGTGTTTATGAGGTTTAAAGTTCAAGGCCGGGGGCTAGAGTGAGCGGAGGCGGGTGGGCTTGAGAACAGAGCGTCCGGAGGGCTTGCGTCAACCACATGTGACGACCCCGGGCTGTACTCCGCTTCGTCCACGGTGAAAGCCGATCAGGTGATCCACAGCGCGAAGTTGATGTATTTCCTCAGCGACCAGCACGGATCAGCTCCAGGCATGACGAAGCGGATATCGTCCTCTTTTGGAAGACCAAACAAAGTAGTTTCGCTTTCACAACGAAACACACAGCGTCTCGACATGGCGGCAGCAACAATACTACATACAGCGAGAATAAAATTTACGCCTTCTTTCTTTGAGTGAACATTTGGGTGGCGTTATGCTAATCTTCCCACATCGTGACGTAGATATGTGGGGGCGTGTTAGAACGAGCCGTTTTAGGTAGGCGTGGTTGACTCTTAACTTTTATAAAGAATATCTCTTTGGATTTGAGACTTTAGTCTTTGCAACTTTACAGATCTTCTTTATGCACCAAGAGCTTGTAACACTCCAAAGAGAAAAGAAAAATTTTATGCTAATCTTCCCACATCGTGACGTAGATATGTGGGGGCGTGTTAGAACGAGCCGTTTTAGGTAGGCGTGGTTGACTCTTAACTTTTATAAAGAATATCTCTTTGGATTTGAGACTTTAGTCTTTGCAACTTTACAGATCTTCTTTATGCACCAAGCTTGTAACACTCCAAAGAGAAAGGAAAAATTGAAATGGCATCATATGACCCCTTTAAGCGACTAGTTTAGTCCTACACATCAACACTTACTCAACCAATGGTGTGATTTGGGGTGAGGGAATCTGTTGTTCGATCAGTGGGGGCATTTTCTGAAATATATCATTCAGTGGCACTAGTGGCGCAGAAATTACATAATGCTGTTTTTAGTTTGATGCTTTCACCTTAATTATTATCCTTATTAATAAATAAGAGAGTTTTTAAAATAGCCTCCCCAATGTTCGTGGTCTGAGTATTAAATATGGACACCTCTTGTAAATGTTCGGACTATTATGACCAGTTTAGTATAGAAAGAGGTCAGAACAGAATGAAGAAGCTCCAGTTATAATCAGATCTCGTTTTATCTCACATCCTGCCCTTTCCTCTTCATGAATATTTTGTTACTCAAGAGCCCTGCTTTTTCCTATTGATCATTTCCTCAGTATTTCTCCCAGGAAAGCTTAGTGTGAAAAGGCTGAATATTTATCACTGTAATTGCTGTAAATGATCTAAATCACTGTCTGTCATTATTGTGCTGTCAGTGCCTGAGCTAAGGGAGTGTAATAAGAGGCTCCACTGTATGAGCCATTCATTTAGATGAAGACAGTTTGACTCTGGAGATTCCAGAGAGGCCAGCTGAACGGTTTCTACTCTTCCCAGGTGTTTGTATATGCATGGCATGTACAGGAGCGCTGGAGCTGCCAATCAGCTCTTTTCCAAAAGACATTTGGTAGTAAGGCATGGCTTTTTGGCTCTTGACTAACATTCCTGCTAGTGACTGAATCACTTATGTTTCAAAAGGAATCCACAAATGCAACACACAGATTGGAATTTTGTTTGTCAAATTTTTCTTTTGTATCTGATATTGCAAGTGGAAATACCCATTTAAACTGCAATCGGACTTACGAGTGGTCAGAGGCTTTTATTCATTTACAAACATTTTTTTCTGTTACTTACTGTAGATTTTGGCAAATATGCCATAGGAATTAAGTGCTACTTACATGCTACTATTCTACATAGTGCTTTGGGAAACATACAGTAGACAGTACCCAGCTCTAAATGGCTTGGTGTCCCACTGACCCGGGCAACATAAAGCCAGTGCCCTAATATGGTAATTTGCATTACAAAACAATTTAATTAGAGGCATGGCACTAAATGATAAAAGGCATCATTCATTGCCATGCAAACTATATTTTAAAAGAGAGGTCTCTTTCATTGAATGCCAATGTGCTTTCAGGGTACATTTCTCTATTTATTTAAGCAATGCCAGCTGTACTATGGTAACTTTAACAGTGAAACTTCACTGACAGTCACTGATTTACATTTATTCATTCATCAGATGCTATTATCTGACTTACAAAGGAGGAAAAAAACAGCAATTTATCAGGAGCCAAGAATATTAACATTGCCAATAGGGATAATAACAGTAGAATTTTTTTGTCTTTCATTACACAGAGACTACTACAAATCTAGACCTGGAAATAAACACAAAGTTTTATGAATGTGAAAAGAAAAGAAGCAAATAAAGGGTCTCAGTAAGTGGTCTCAATCTTTTGGACCCCGCTATTTACAACAACAGTAATAGCAAGCTTGTTACAACACTGAGAGACTGTAAAAACTGACCACATCCCTTCTACCACAAATGATTTACTGTAGTCTACTCTACAACAACAATATTTCAGTTTGACCACTGCCACTGTCTTATTTTATTTTTAGTTCAGTAAATCATGAACGTCTGGAAAAGTCATGTAAAGTCATGTAAAGAGTGCGATTTTTATTCATTTATTTTTTAAACTTACATTTTCTACCTGAATTTTTTTTTTAGAGCTTTCCATAACTACAAATATTCTTATGTATTACATCATGACCAGGTTAGAAATCACTTCGAAATTTTTTTAGCTTTGCTTAGTTTGTTTTATACGAGGCCCCCTTGGAGTTAATATAATGAAGCTAATATTGTGGTTTATTACAGCTTTGTTTTGAAACCACTTCAAATGGTGTCTCTAATGGAGAAGCCATAAAAATCCCACAAACTTGTGTTTTTGAAGACGCTAATGAGTCACACTCACTGCTTTTAATAGTAAGCAGCTTTTTGCTAACTGCCAAGATCTCCATCATTACACACGTCTTTATTGCACCAAAATGCTTCCTCTGAAAGCCTAATGTCCATTAATGAGGACACTCCTCTAATAAGGATGTAAAGTTGAGAGGATATGCTGGTGCCCAGGGGATTTGTGGAGACACCACGGCTAACTTACAGCAGCATTAGGACTTAACAGAGAGGAAAGCTGGGTAATTTAAT